CACCTGTCATCCAATCACTTGACACTTTTAAATTGCCTTAATGGGTGCTCTTTTCTTTCTTTTTTTTTTTTTTAATTGCCTAACTTATTTTATAAAATAAAAATCACAAATCATAAGTAACATACACAATGTCTCTTTCACCATTTAAGTAAGATACTTTGATTTTATTTAAATATTCTCATGTTTTCAAGGTAACAGTATCTGAGAATGAGGCATACAGTGGTGGGCAAAAATAGGTTTACAGTTGTGAGTATACCAAACACAATTCTGGTATTATTATTTATTAATCACTGTACTGTTTATTCGTATACCTACTTTTGCCCACCCCTGCATATATTCTGTAGTGCTACAAAATTGGGTGCTCTTTTCTTCTGATATTTACATGAATATATTTAAATACAGATTTTTTTTACATCTGTGGACTCATATGCCTTGTTTTATAACCTAATTTTTAAATCTATTAAAATGTGGATTTCTTTACATATCAGTAAATATAGACCAATAGCTGACTTTCAGTTACTCGGAAGAAAAAGCTGAATCCAAAGGTAAGGACAGCAGGGTGGGGAAAGGGTGTTTTTGGGGAGAGTCAACAAAAAGAAACAGACTCTCACCTTAGAACATGGTGATCAGAGGGCAAGTGTTTGCAGAACGATGGGACCTCTGCTCTCTGCCACCTGCCATTCATGTCACATCTTCCTCCCACTTACAGAATTCCTCTGGTCTTTAGACATTCTTGGTTATTTAGAGAAACTGTAAACATTGTAAGAAGAGTAACTGCATGTCTTCATTACAGAGAAACAATGTGGCTTGAACTTCTAAGATCTGAAGGTACATCAGGGAGGGCATAAGTTAATAAACGACAAGGCATTATTATTACTAAAGTAGACTTAGTTTCACCTTATTTATTACCTTTGACCTTTTTATATTGAAGATATTTTGCTGCTCTGGTTTTAAGAATAATTTAGAAATCAAAATTTTAAAACATGTCTAACAGGAACTTGCCAGCATTTATCATTACAACTCAAAATCATGTAATGTCTATTTGGATTTTAACAGCCATGAAGAGCTAAGAAAAGCCCTTGGTTGGAAACCCTTCAAAAGTATCTAATTAGGCAAGAGTTGTACTTTCTGCAAAATGAAGCAATGTAATTCTTTCAGCATTACAAAACCAATTGTTTGAGTCTTTTATCAGATTTGCTTTCTGCTCATGCCAAGGAGTAATTCTCTTTGTATAAAAGTGACTTTGGGCCCTGGCCAGTTTGGCTCAGCGGTTAGAGTGTCGGCCTGCGGTCCAGAGAAACCCCGGTTCAGTTCCCGCTAAGGACGCGCTTGGTTGCAGTTTGTCCCCGGCCCTGGTTGGTTGTGCGGGTGGCAGCCACTTGATGTGTCCCTTTCACATCGATGTTTCTCTCTCTCTCCCTCCCACTCTATCTGAACAAAAAATGGAAAAATATCCTTGGATGAGGATAAAAAACAATAATAATAAAAACGACTTTGGAATTAAGGAAGAACAGAATAGATACGCATGGATTTATAAGCATTTAAAAATAATTCTTAAAATCTTAGCATGTGTACCCTTCAGAAATGATGTCTTACTTGTTCTAGAGAGATTGCCTTGGGAAAAAGACATGAACATGTGTGTCTTTGATTCAGACTTAGGTGTATTTGACAAGAGATCGTTTTCAGTCTCCCTGGGAACTACAAGTTTCTAGTACTTTATTTTAGGAAAAAGGCAGCTGGGATGCTCATTGGCCTTGGTGTCTGCTGACGTCTCTAAACAAGAAAGACATATTGCAGACCCAGAGCTGTTGTGACAGCAAGCAGAGAGCTCAGAGCTGGTTAGGAAGCACCGGTCCAGAGGCAGGAGTCAAAACCAGGCCTGTGAGCTTTGTGACTGCGGTGTTGGTTCCCCAGGGAAACCGTGTGTGTATGCATGTGTGTGTGTGTGCTCATTTCCTTACAGGTACATAATTTAAATTAGTTTATTTTGCATACTTAAGGGATGGCAGGTTCCCAGTCACAAAATTAGAAGCCAGGCTAGGTATTTCAAACAGGAAGGGATTTAATAAAAGGGTTTGTGTTGCAGCTGTTTTGGAAGAGCTAGAAAGCAAGGAGGGGAGGGATCTGGAGGGACAGTCCTAGCAGAAGCCCCTGACCACTCCACAGCATTCCAGAGCCTGTGGCCTGTTCTCCCTTTGCCCCCGGGTGGTGGGAGTGGTGACAAGCACTGGCTGACTCCTGCAGCCACCGACCACTGTTGTCATTGCCACGGCTGGAGCTGGAGCTGTGGCCATAGCCAGAAGAGGAACCCCCAGGACCTCCGTCTTGCCTTCTGATGTGGCACTAGCCACCCCTCCCCCTGCTGGCAGAACCTAAACAGAACCCTGCTGGCAAAGGATTCTGGGAAATGTAGTTTTTAATTTTTTTTTTTTTTTTAATCCTCACTCGAGGACATTTTTTTTATTTTTTGTTCAGATAGAGTGGGAGGAAGAGAGAGAGAGAGAGAAACATCGATGTGAAAGGGACACATCGAGTGGCTGCCACCCGCACGACTCAACCAGGGCCGGGGACAAACTACAACCGAGGTACATGCCCTTAGCGGGAACCGAACCCGGGTCTCTCCGGACCGCAGGCCAACGCTCTAACCGCTGAGCCAAACCGACCAGGGCAGAAAATGTAGTTTTCATACCTCCAGCTCCTGGGACGTGGAACAAAGCACAGAGGGCAGGGGGTAGGTGGCCCTCACAATACTTCAGGTGGCATCATAGTGCTTTAGAAAATATTAACTTATAGCAGTTTAACCTTTTAGACATTTATTGTTAATTTTATTTTAATGTGAAGTATGAAAAATTCATTTTGACAAATGTCTCTTGTGGCAGTGAAAAGATAATTGGTTTTTTAAAATATGTTTTTATTGATTTTTTAGAGAGAGAGGGGAAGGAAGTGAGAGAGAGAAACATCGATATGAGAGAGAAACATCCGTCAGCTGCCTCCTGCATGTTCCCTACTGGGGATCAAGCCCACACCCTGGGCATGTACTCTGATCAGGAATCAAAACAGGACCTCGAAGTCCGTGAGATGACACTTAATCCACTGAGCCACACCAGCTGGGCTGTGGTTGTTTTTAACCCTCACCCAAGGATATTTTTTCCAATGATTTTCAGAGAGAGTGGAAGGAAGGAAGGGAGGGAGGGAGAGAGAAACATTGATGTGAGAGAGATACATTGATTTGTTGCCTCCTGCACACACCCCTTATCAGTCGGGGTGGGGATTGAACCTGCAACCCAGCTACTTATCCTTGACTGAGAATCAAACCCATGACCCTTCAGTTTGAGAGCCGAGGCTCTAACCACTGAGCACACCAGCCAGGGCAAGATAACCAGTTTTATGTTAAAGAATATTTTGTAGGTTCAAAGAATATTTGGGGACATTTTAATTCACACAACTTAAAAGCAGCTGAACAAATGCGTTAAAGTGATAGCTCTTGCTAGGCCTTCCTGTGTTATCTGTGAAAAGCATACCTGTGTACCTAGCCAACCCAATGATCTGAAATACAGCCCGGAGGAAGCACATTCTACACTTTGGGTATTTATATCTGACACTGGCTGGTATTTCTCTCCAGCAAAATGTTTTCTCTAGCAGTGAGAGCGCCTGTTTGTTTTCTGAGATGTTATGTACTTTTATTCTAGTTTAATCCCGGTGGGAAATTATTTCAGATAAATAATCATCTGCAAGTTGATATTAAGAAAGTGAGCAAGTTAATGACCCGTATGACTTAACTAAACAACTTTTTGTGAGTCTGGTGGTTGCCTTTTCTTTCCTTACAGCAAGATTGTAGGCAGACTTCCCTGGCGTGTTGGTTAATAGAAAGGGAACACTAATTCTGATGATAAGATCATTATGGGAACCTGATGTGTATCTCGGAAGGAAGCAGAGTGATTGAGTAACATTGCTGTAACAACTCTCTCCATGCCCCTTCATTGTTTTATACAGACAAGGTTTCTTGGCACATAAATTTTATAAAAAATGAAAAATAAGAATGGAATTGATAACCTGTTCTAGTACTAAATAATCTTCATCTACAGGTTACATAAATTAACGGGGATATGCCAGGCTTGCTCAACATTCTTCTAAAAATGGAGAGTGCATTTCCAACCACATTTCACTCCTATATAATAATTCTTTTCAAAATCATTGTATCTTGCCCTGGCCGGGTGGCTCAGTTGGTTGGAGCATCGTCCCATACACTGGTCAAGGCGCAGATGAGAGGCAACTGATCCATGTTTCTCTCTCACATTGATGTTTCGTTGTCTCTCTCTCTCTCTCCTCCTCTCTCTAAAATCGGTAAACATATCCTCGGGTGAGGATTAAAAACATTTATTGTATCTTATGTTTTTAAATCAATTATGGTCTAAAAGTAACTATAATTATAACCTAATCAGAAAACATTTTGCTGTTTAGAGGCTACATTTTTAAATAGAAAAAATTTTAATTAAATGTTAGTTTATCTACATAATTTATTATACCCCAAAGTATGGTGAGGTAAATAAATAAACATTATCATTGTTCATTTATGATGTTGATTTATTTACCTCACCATTGTTAACACACGAAACATTAAGTTTTAAGGATGTGAGAAAGAAAAGAATTCAGAGGAAAAGACTTGAAGGTAAATTTTAGAGAATTGAAGAACTTGCTCTTACTGGGTGATGTAGGTGTCAAAGGGCTGTGGTATTTTGACTCTGTTGGAAACAGTTGAAGGGATGACATAACAGTATTTATAGCATACTAGAAATTATACTCTTGGCTGTCACTGAAAGTGACAGGGAAAATATTTCTGAAGTCAAGGTAAAAGGATGCATGTGATAGATTTTTAAATGTTATTTAGGGTGTATATGAGCAAACATGTTTGAAGATCACCGATCTACACGAAGGATCAGAGCAGGTGTTTTGAGGGTAAGCGTCGCCACATATCTTCTGTGTGTTTCTTTATTTTCCAGTTTGACCTCGTGTGTGTCAATGCTTGGATGCTGGACCTCACGCAAGCCATCCTAAACCTGGGCTTCCTAGCCGGCGCGTTCACCTTGGGCTATGCAGCAGACAGGTAGGCGTCCACGTGACAACCCCTTGACATCACTGTGGCACGGCATGTCTGTGTGGAGGTGAAATGTTTCATTTAACTATTAGGAAAACATTCTTATTAAATGCAAAAAACAATGTTGATGCCTCTACTCCTGACATTCACACTGGTTTGATTGGACTGATTCTTTCCCTCTTAAACTGTGTCCCCTTTCTCCGTGAACCGTACACACGGGTGGCTGCTCCCGGTAGGTGTGACGTGTGCAGGGGAGACCCAGGCCAGCGGGGCGGTGGCGAACTCACTGGCTCATTGAGTTGCAGGACAGTCCCTTTCAAACCCGTTTCATTTAATTTTTAAAAACCTTTGCATTTTATTCTACAGATTTAAAACTCTACAAAGAAAAGTTTTTTTTAATTAATTTATTTTTGTGACAGATATTTCTCCTCTTTCCTCCACTGATTCCCCCCCGTCCCCATCCCTCCCCACCCTGTCCCCAGCTTTGTTGTCCATGTCCACTGTTCATGCATACATGCATATAAGTTCTGTGGTTTATCTCTCCCCCACAACCCCCGTTTCTGGGGATTGTCAGTCTGTACCTGGAAAATATTATTCTAAGAGAAACAAGCCAAACAGAGAAAGACAAGTATCATATGATCTCACTTATTTGTGGAATATAATGAACATAATAGTCTGAGTAATGGGGCAGTCCCAGAGACGTGGAAGTGGGGTACAGAAAAGTTTTTTGTTTTTTTTAAATTATTAAAGGTCTTATCTATTTAACATTCATAAATATACCAGTTAACAGCAGGCACACTGCGTGTATATATTTAAGATGGTCCATCATGCTTTCTCTTCAGATGTTTACATTTCAGACGTTATTAGTGTTAGCTGTATTCATATTTAGCTATTTCTTTATCTCAATTCTACCTCTCAAAATACTTGTAATAATTTAATAATTCTCTCTGGACCCATTAGGACAAGTTTGGGACACTCTGGCTTAACATTGCTTCAGTCACTTTGCCTAGCCTTGGGGGGTCCTTGTGGCCATGCTGGCAGTGGGCGGTGCTAAGGGTACCTGTTAGAAACCTGCTGACAGCAATTAATGGGCTAATTCGAGACAATAAACCACTCCAAATCCCGTAGCCAGTTGATGATCTGAGCTCGACCAGTCCTGGACTTCAATATGGGCAAAACCCTCGGTCTTTTTTCTGACCCTTCGCCCATCTCTTAGGTTTCTGTTGCTGTCCCCCATAACCTTCTTCTGCATGTGACTTTCTCCTTAATCTGTGTCCGATGCTCACTTCCTGTATTTTATATGTCTTTCTCCCATTTCTACTACTAGCCCTTTCAATTCATCTCTTCTTTCTTAATTGCCCCAACGTAGCACTTCCTTCCTGCCTGGCTATGATTTGGAATTGAGTTAATCTTTTTAGGATGTGTTTCTTTAATTTCCTTGTTACTCTTCTTAGTTGAAACATTAGCTTTTGCTTCTTCTGCATGCTCCTCTTGCACAATCCATAAACATGTCTTCAGACTAAAGTGATTACTAAAGAAGATACAATGTTCCCAACTATGTTCTAGGAGTAGAGGCGGCTGTCCTCAGAGATGTCTTGGTCCTTGGGAGAAGCCAGACTCAGGAATAATTCGGCCTCACGACATGTCAGCCATCTCCAGCTCCTTCTCTTCTTTATATCCTTGAGGGGAAGGATAGGAAACAATGTAATAGGCCCAACCATTGTGGCTCAGTGGCTGAGCGTCAACCCATGCACCAAGAGGTTCGATTCCCAGTCAGGGCACATGCCCAGGTTGTGGACCCGATCCCCAGTGGGGGCATGCAGGAGGCGGCCAGTCGATGTTCTCTCTCATCGATGTTTTTATCTCTCCTTCTCCCTTCCTCTCTCTCTAAAATCAATAAAGAAAAAAATTTTTTTTAAAGAAACAATATAATGGGCCGCATGTCTGTGAGAAGGCCCTGGAGGAGGGGTGAGTGAATTAAAAAACTGAGGCTACTTATTTTTTTAATATTAATTTGTGTGCAGATGGTTTTCTCCAAGTAATGAACTTTTAAAAAAAATTATCTTTATTTCTTTATTGATTTTAGAGAGAGAAGAAGGGAGAGGGAGAGATAAAAACATCGATGAGAGAGAACATCGCTAGGTCGCCTCCTGCATGCCCCCCACTGGGGACTTGGCCTACAACCTGGGCATGTGCCCTGTCTGGGAATGGAACCAGCGACCTCCCGGTGCAGGGTCAACACTCAACCACTGAGCCACACTAGCCAAGCAAACTGAGGATACTTCTCTCTTCACTCTGCCGACTGAAGCAAGACAATGTTGTACATGTGAATTTGGTGGAAATTTCTAGGGGAAGATGTTGTCAAATCTTTTAAATGTCACTGACAACAAACTCACCAGCCAATAATGTGGCACAACCATACTGAACCATTTAAAATCAGATTTGCAGGGTTTTTTGCACACGATACCGTTCCCTTTCCCTAAACTATTTAATCGTGTTATGTAAATGGTGAAAATAAAGTACAGAACTTCAGGACAACTCACATAGGTTTGGACTTTACCAAGAGTGTTCCCATTAGCATCTCATTGGATCCGCTCTCTCCTTTCCCACACAGGTACGGCAGGATCGTCATCTACTTGATATCCTGTTTCGGGGTGGGCGTCACCGGCGTGGTGGTGGCGCTTGCTCCCAACTTCCCCGTGTTTGTGGTCTTCCGCTTCCTACAAGGCGTGTTTGGAAAGGGGACATGGATGACTTGCTACGTGATCGGTAAGACCTGGCTGCACCGCCCCGTCTGATTGAGAACCAGGGGCAGGTGGGTGCGGTGTGGGCTGGTCAGCCCTCCTGGTGCCAGCTGGCTGAGGCTGTAGTGGCAGCTCTTTCTGCAAAGATTCTGACTCTTTAGTCATTGAAATGCCACCTTACTTTGGGGACCAAGTATGGAACATCACAAAGTTCTGGAGTGACCACTCTCTAGCAGTGCCATACTGTTATCGCATGTTTTTTGTTTGTTTGTTTTTGGTTTTTTTTGCTCTGTTTTATTAGAGATTCATTTTTATTAAAATTTCAATAGTTCCTTGAAACAGTTTAAACGAATTTTCTGTGTCTTTCTGCGACATCACTGAGCTGACACTCCGGTGTTCTGTTCCTTCCGTCCGAGTGGAGCTTTCGCCACGCCGGAGACGCGAGCGGACCGTGAGGAGCTGCTTTGGGAACTTGCTGTCCTCCGTGACTAGGCAGTTTGACCTTCTGGGTGTGAAAGAAAGAAAGAAAGATGTCCCTGGGGAAGCCCGGCCTGCTCCCTTTGGCTCTGTTTGCACTGGTGTCTGGACCAGTCACCTACTCTCGGAGTCACGGTGGATTTGGGACCAGGGACCTTGGCATGCTCCTCTTTGATTATCGCTCCAGGTCTTTGGGGTCCCACTCTCTCCTGTTGTGCTGGGCGATTCCTCCCCAGGCAGACCCTTTGCAGACCCTTTGAGGGTCTGTTCATGGGTGAGAAAGGAGAGTGTTGGGAAGGTTGGCTGTCGCTGGCTGGGGTAGGAGGGATAACTTTGAAATATGAAGCATTTTAAAGGAGACCCAAGTCTAGTGAGTTTTAAAAGTTGTGACCTTTGGGCAAGAAGAAGGTAGCATATCCCAGGCTGATCAGAACAGCATTAGTGACAGATAGACACTGACTAGTGGGAGGGCAGGAGAGGAGAGGGAGCCGGCAATGAACCTCCCCCGTGATGTGTAAAGAAACAGCGCACACGTGAAGAGCCCAGCGCTGTCGTTTGATAGAAACTCGCTTGTGATGATGAAAAATGTGTGGAGTCTACTATTCATAAGCAATCTCCTAAAGAGACTGTAATACTGCTGCAGTCCAGCTGCAGCCGAATCCTGGGGGCCCGCAGGTGGTGAGGCGTCGGCGCTGGGTGACGGATGACTACACAGGGAAGTGTGACACTGTTCCGATTTAGTACCAGTTTCTGTGTGCTTATATATTTTCTTTTTTGGCATGAGTTTAACATTTGAGGTTGAAGAAGCAGGGAGTTTCATTCCATAGTACCAGGATGTTAGTTTCATTTTTTTATCAGAATTAATTTATAACTTTTTGTGTTTGTAGATTCAAAGAAGGGGGTAGAGTAACCTGTAAGGTGAGACAGAGTTTTCTATAGGCCCTTTGTCTGAGGTTAATAGTTGACCCTTATTTAAAATCTAGTTCTGGGTTTTTAGATCAGCTAGTTTTTGATTTACCTCCCTAACTAACTCAGGACAACATTTCTTATAAAACCTATTCAATTGCAATGATTGAGATTTCTTCTGTTCCCTTGTGCGTAAACACCAAGGGGGACCTTGGCATGCCAAACGTTCCATGAAAGCAAGCTCGCGTAAGGAACGTGGAGTCCGTCTTTGTTAACTATTCTTATTCTATCTCTATTATATGCTCCTATAAGGGTAAGGGAGGGTCAGGAATCCTTTGGATACTTCTAGCCCCTCTAGGTGCGTACCATAGTTTTCCTATTATCCAATAAGCTATATAAGGAAACCCTTGAGCAGTGGGTAGGGGTCGATACAATTTTCTTTTATCCTCTTGAAATACTCTTCCTATCTGGGGAGGAGGCACAGGAGTATAAGGTGCCTCCATTAGTTCTACCTGTCACAATCCATCCATGAATTGTTTATTAGGGACTCCCGGGGGAAAATTTTTTACCTAATTGAATTAGTAAATTTTTAACACAGTCTGGACATGCAGTGGTGACTGTTTCAGAGGAAGCTGGAGTTTCTTCAGAATTTAACTGAAGAGGCATGATTTCAGATATCTTGTTTGTTATTCCCAGGTTAGTCATATAGTAGAATAATAATTCCCAATATTATAACTCCCGTAACACCAATTAATCCCACCCCATGCCACGTCCTCCTCCTAGAAGATGCATCCTTGAAGCTTTCTTCTCCATATCCGGGCTTTGTCAGACAATATGGTTGGAAGAGGATGCGGCATAATATGCTATTATTAGAGAGCAATGGTAGAATCTAGCCAGTTTATTGTATTTATGTTTTCATAATTACTGTGACCTTCCGAAGTAGATGTCACTGAGGCACCTAAAAGGAGCACCCACATTCCTTGCATACCCAGAGGAGTGCCAGGCTGGGGGTGTAGGAGAAGCAGGAAACCTTGTGGGTGACGGGCAGAGGCGTGTAGAGCACAGTGTTCAGTTATCTAGGGCGCACACCTCACGCTAGCTCGCGAGGAAGCCTGGGATCCGGGGCAGTTCTGTGGTCCTCTGGCCACGTGGATGGATGGAACAGGTGCAACATGTCTGTGTGTTTATTTCGGAGCCTGTCTGGAGGTTCCCAGACGTCTGTGTTTGTTTTCCTTCAGTGACAGAAATCGTCGGTTCGAAGCAAAGGAGGATTGTGGGGATCGTGATTCAGATGTTTTTCACCCTTGGGATCATAATTCTCCCTGGAATCGCCTACTTTATCCCCAACTGGCAGGGAATCCAGCTGGCCATAACGCTGCCCAACTTTCTCTTCCTCCTTTATTACTGGTAATGTGGTTTCCGTCATTATCGAATGTGTTCTTGCTCCTCAAGGATGTAGAGGCTACGCTTCTAGGCCAGCGTGGACACAAAAACAGTGAAGGAGCTATTCTGCCATCTCCAGAATGGTGGTGGGCTTTGAGAAGTTCCAGGGAATTTGAAAATTTATAGATTATTTACTGATTATTTGACTAACAGTTGTTATTAAAGTAAACTAATAAAATATCAAAACAAAATTCTAAATAGAGTATTCATTGTAGTTTATTTCATAATATCTTCATGAAAACTACGAGGCAAAAAAAAAAACAACAAAAAACAAAAACAAATCTGCCAGTATTTCAACACAAAATAAATCCAATGAAATTGGTGTACTTCTCTGTGTAGTCTTTAAGCAAATTAATATTGCTCAGAAATTCTCTGAGGAATAAGAAAATGTTAAGAGCATGAGGAAAGCAATCAGAAGGGCACAGGTATGTACATTTGACTGTTAATGCAGTGAATGTATTTTACCATTCCTCTGATTTTAATATATGGTCGAATCAGTTTGCATAATTTGGGTCCTTAACCGTTTCCTGAATGCTCACTAAATACCCGTTCTTTTCATGTGTGTAATTGGGGGTTCTGCGTTCTAGAATGGCCTGGTCTGGCGAGAGCCATGGAATATTTCATTACTCGTATTATGCGCAGCGCTCCAGTTATCAAGTGAGCGTTTTCCCTCCCATAATAAACTTGCAAAGACCATCTGTGTTTTTGAGAGCCTCTTCTACACTTGGAGATTCTCCTAACTTTGTGTCTAATTACAAAATCCATTTTGATAGGGAAACTCAAGTCATTAAAGTTCAGGTGGTGAAATTCCCACTCATAACTCAAAAATGCTTTCTTCCTGGCAGGGTGGTCCCCGAGTCTCCCCGCTGGCTGATTACGCGGAAGGAAGGAGATAAAGCACTAAAAATTCTAAGGAGCATCGCCGAGTGCAATGGGAAATATCTCTCGCCCAATTACTCAGAGGTACTTTCTTTACCACCTGTAACAGATATTGTTAGAGTGGGTGACTGTCATTTAGGCCCGTGTTGTCAGTCATCTGACGGAGTGACGTTAGTTTGGCTGTGAACAAGGGGAGCCTTGGAAGAGTCTGGGGGGCACTGAAGAAGAAAGGGCCGTGAAGTTGTGACAGCGTGGGCGCTGAGGCTCACGGTCACTCAGTCCACGCGTCTGTAGTGCACCAGGTTCCCGGAATACTTGGCCTGCTCCGGCCCATTGTATCTAATCATCCATTCATCATCATTGAGCAAACTGCAAACATTTTCTTGACATTCAGTTTAGTCTAAAGATTTGTCTTTAAATTTAGTCTCGGAAGTACTATGTGTTTGAACCAGAGCTTGAACGAGAATGTAATTTTCAGCCTTTGGACTAACATACACGAGCTGCCCTGCCTCCGCTCCCTCCTTGCTCCCTCCCTCCCTCCTTTCCTCCCTCTCTCCTTCCCTCCCTCCCTTCCTTCCCTGCCTCCAGCAAAGGCTTTCGGTGCCTCTGTATCACTGCTGTAAGAGAACTGGGAGCAGGGAGGTGTTAGAAGCTCATCGTTTGTCCTTTGGAAGATCTGACATGCAGTTGAAGACATACACATACATCGGAAGCAACCCCCGAACAATAGAGAATAGATGTAAGAACAGGTGACCAGGCTTTAGCCACAAAGCCTTCGGTGAATACAGAACCACGGAAGGGTTGTTGTAGAAGGAGCGCTAGAGAAGAATTTTGGGAAAGTGTGAGTCTTTGAGATAAACCTTTCAGAGTATGAGGTTGCTAACATCGTTTTCTCCGTAAGCATTCCACTTGTTCTGAGAAAAATCGAGGTCTTGCTGGTTTTTGTGTGACCCTCCAGCCCCCCAGGAAGCTGCAAGCAATGGCCTCTTTGTCTGCACAGGTCCCAGTGACCAGTTGTCCCTGCTGGAAGTAGATTAAGGGTGGACCTTGAAGGTTACAGATCATAAAGTACATGGTAAAGATAAAACATAATCCACTTTAGCCACTAAGACTAGTTGACCCTTGGTGTTCTCTGAGCACAGTAGCTGTGTATTCCTTTTGGGGGAAAATACCCCCCTGCCTCCTCAGCGTCTCCCATCAGTTCGCGACCGGTCTTTACAGCTGGATCATGGGTATGGTCATTTGTACTCAGTTTTATGGGGCAGATGAATATTCTCGCTATTCGTTCAGCAGTATCCTGAGGACAATGCACTTGCTGTTCCAGAGCTAAGCATAGGTGAGACTAGGTTAGGTTCCAAGAACGTAGAAAAAATAGTTGTGTGCTGCTGGCTTATGAGATAAACACAGTCATCGGGCATGTCCGGTGTTCTCATGAGTACTCCCAAGAGGCCAGAGGATGGTTCCCAGAGCAGCTGCTGTTACATGTCCTGAGAGTGTCCACTTCAGCACCACTCCCTGGGACACACTGACCCGCCTCCAGTTCATGAGCACCCTGGAGACCCCTCCACAGGGAGGTCCGCCGACACTCTCCATGGTGCTGCCTGCACAAGATCAGAGCTCGGGACCCAGTGGCTTCCAAGACTCTGCACTCTGTTTTGACAGATAATCTCTGTTTGAAAGCCAGGCTGGAAGCCAGACCCCCGCTTCCCTCCGGAAGTCACCCGAGGCATTCCAGGTACCACCGTCACACTCTGCTACGAAAGCCAAGCTTGAGTGTTTTGTTTTTGTTATTCGAGTGAATTTCCACTTTCTTCTTCTTCTTCTTTTTTAATTTTATGATGGGAAATTGCAAACATAGTCAGAGAGACAAAAAGACGTCGCGAATCTCTTGATGCACATCCTCCAGGTCCAGCAACGGCCAGCCCACCACCAACCTCATTTTCTTAAACTCCATTCCCTGTCCCCACCTCCCGAGGAAGACGCTTACCCCAGATGGCATATCGTTTCCTCTCGCACTGCCACAGATTGTACCCGTCAAATCGAAACACCTAGATACTCACTGAACTCTGGGACCGCGTGTGCATGGCCCCAGGCTACTGCTCAATGAACGGCAGAGGATGTTCAACTGAAGGCAGATGATCACACGTGCGATCCATAGTGGGGACGGACAGCCAATGTCACACGAGCAAACTGGGATGGCAGTGCTAGATAACGTATAAAACATAAAAATAACTCCAACATTACTATTTAAAAAAAAAATAATCATAATTTCTAAATATCCAATATCAAGTCAGTGTTTCCAATTCCCTGTCTTATGTTTATTGCTTGTTTGTTTGAATTAGGACGTTTGTGTATTGGGATTGGTTGATAAGCCTCTTTGGCCTTGAATCTATAGGTTCCTGCTCTTTTTTCTTTTTCTCGTTACTTTGGGGGTGAAGAACACGGTGTGTGGGGGTTATTGCTGTAGTTTTCTGCCGTCTACATTGCTTTGCTTTTATCTCTTAGGATCCTTTCATGTGTCTCTTTTGTCCCCTGAAAGTGGTAGTTAGATCTAGAGTTTTAACCAGGTTCAGATTTGATGTTTTTGGCAAGACTACCTCATAAGTGACTCAGTACCTTGCCGTGAAGAGATACCCAGTGTCTGCCTGTCTCTTTTGGTGATGTTAGCTGCCACTGATAATCATTGCCTGGGTTTATTAACTCATCAGAGGTTGCAAAATGACAATATCTCATTTTAACATAATTTCTTCATTTGTTACTTGAGTACTTACAGAAAGACGGACTTCTCCCATCAACTGTTCGGTGACTCTGACACACAGTTCTTGTAGGAAAGGCAGGGTACAAGCATAATTTTTTCTTTTCAAAGTAATGAGTTGGCTCCCTGCATCCTCCCAAAATGATCAATGTGTTGTGTGTTGTGGGATCTAAGCCTCGTGAACTGAATTCGAACAAACTGTATGTTTCAATCCTCTGCAGTTATCATTATTATCCTTAGTGATGGTCGAAGTGCCCATCTTTGGCCAGCCGAGGCTCACCTTGGTTGGTTTCTGGGTCCCTCAGCCACACCCTAGTGTTTCTGGATGCTTCCTTGCTCCTCAGCATGACGAGATTTTCATGCTCATCTTGTACGTTTTGGTCTCTCACTTAGAACCACCTGCTTCTCAAAGGGTGCGTTGACTTCTTTAAACAAATGTCTTCAAACAAAACCTATCCATCTCCAACCTTTTAAAATTGCATAACATAAGCCGAAAAGTAAAGTACTGTCTTCAAAAAGAGAAGGAATCCACCTTTCAGTTTAGAACACCTTGCTAACAGCCGAACTCAGTCCCATTGTAGGCCAAACTGTAATTTCCTGCTTCAGAGATCCGAGTGTTCCCACAACGCAGGATGATGTGCAGAAGACCACTGTATGAAACTCAGAAATCAGCCCAATAGTGCCGACATTGTACGTGGACTCCAACGCCAGCATCGAGGCAGGGTTCTATCATCACTATTGGGTGATGATATCCGTTACTTCTGTTCTGGCAACGCAGAGAGCTACTGCCCATGTCAGCAGTAGACTCACTGGAAACCCCATGTTTACACTGTCACTCCAAACTTTCCCAGAAGTCCTTGCATCGTCTTGGCTGCCGTCCTCGCTGTCTGGATAGAACCTCAGGGGCCCTCGGCCCAAGGCTGATGGCCCAGGGCTCTCACTTTTCACAGGATGTCCTCTCAGCAAATGCTCACTTCTGGAAGAAGTTGTTACCCTATAAATGACCTCCTCCTTCAAGACCTCTCCAGTTTCCACCTCACCTAAGGGTGCACATCGTAGGTTGCAGGAAAGGCTGGAATGGATCAGAATCTGCTTGGATGCGAGGCAGGCTTAGCGGGCTCCACATGTGCCCTCTGTCAGAGCCGGGCTGACCTCCTAACCCCATTCCCTGTCCCGCCTCCCGAGGAAGACGCTTATCCCAGATGGCATGCCATTTCCTCTCGCACTGCCACAGATTGTACCCGCCAAATCGAAACACCTAGATACTCACTTAACTCTGTTCCATCGCTGGCACCAGAGGTCCCGGCCTGTTTTAGGGGTACTGAAGGACATAGCTTCAGGTGACCCAAGGATGTTCCATACTACAGAAGGTACCCCCAATTCACTACACACTGGACTACAACCCGCTGGGCTCAGTGACGGAAAGGAAGGCATGGGTAATGTCGGAAGTTCATAAACAACCAAAGAAAAGTCGACGGATCACTTTAGTAATTAGTAATGACTAATCACAAGTAGTAATTAGTAAAAGTTTACTGTGCGCACACCAGAAAGACAGCTACAAACAGGAGCACTCAAATCAAAGCATGAAATGAGGCTCAGGGTATATTGTCATAAAGCAGCTTACAAAGTGAGAAGGTGACTCAGATAACTTCTGCCGCTGTCAGTGACTGTGTGTTCTTTGCATTGATTGGTTAGAACATTAAATTTTCTAAAATGATAGGGAACCAGTCAGTGGTTATGGTGTATCAGCCTTAAGAAACAGTTCAAGTTTGCTGATCATTTCTAGCGGCATGCTAAGCAAGAAATGACTCGGGTGGAGTTAGTTTTGCAGAATAAGCTACATAAAGCTTTGCTTGTATGATGAAACTGGTTTTGTCTGCTCAAGAAACTTTCAAGGTGGATCTTCTTTTGATTTTCTTGTTAACAGAAGAAATAGGTACAGTGGGTTTGATCCGATGTTCAGCCAGGTAGATCCTTCTGGGAGCTGGTTGTCCTGTAAATAGTATTGGTTCTATTTCACATGGACATTACTAGTTTCTTGGGTGAACAGCCTCTGGCTGCCTGTCTCACTGACCCCTAGGCCTTCATTTGCCAAAGTTCCTGGTTGCCTCTGACTTTTTTGAAGAGATGGCCAGAAGGTAGGATACAGGTGATCAGAACATCAGGCTCTCTGAGTACACAATTGTGACTCACTGCAAAGAAAAGCCCCCACTTCCAATGCAAACAAAGGCCAGTGGGTTGAGCTCATAGGAAGTTATGTAGAAACACTGCGAAGAATCAAAGTGGGTGGGCGGACTGTGAAACATTAAGTAGATACCCAACGCAGGAG